TAAGCACAAAAACGTCCATTAGCTAGCACTGAGTCAAGAGGATTTGACACTTGTAGTTGCTTTGATGTGGCAAACAAACAAATGTCAAGATAGCAAATATTTGTCAGCCAAGATTATTGTTTTATCTACAGCTGTACTTTCAGTGACCCTAAGCTTTTTCTGCAGAGACGGTTTGTCTTCATCTGTACTGAGTCTGATAATACGCAAAGAAAAGAACTAAAGGTAACTATAAGAACATTTAATTCCTAACTATACTGCTTCAAACAGAAGTACTCAAACATTCCTGTCAAAAGCCATGTTTCCAAAATGCCAACTTTGTAGAAGATGGATAAAAACATTCTTAACTATAATTGTAATGTAAGAAGATTTTATTCCAAGTAAACTTGGGCCATTTCTATTGATCCATTGGTCCATGTATACACAGTGTAAATGGGTGCTGGCATTTTCAAATTGTGTAATTTAAAAAAAAAAAAAGAAGAAAATGACACCAACAAAATGCTTATTCACAATAACAGCAAGTCTTAATGATATTCGCAATTGTAACAGCTTGAACTTCCTTTAAAGTAACTTCAGTGTTTGGAGAATAGCTGAACAGCTTTCACTAATGCAAGATTTCAACACAAGATTTTGATATTATGAATGTGAGGTAAGCTAATGGCATGAATGGATAGCATGATTTCAGCACTGAGCCACTTTGTAAGATTCTGCACACAAGCAGAAGAGCCACTGTCTGCCATTAAAGGGGTTTTTAGCAACCAAATAAGGAGAGGTCAGAAGGGCACAACCATGGCCCTCTACCAAGCCTTTCTGCTAGTGCTTATCTAGAGAGTTCCTTGAGTTCATTAGTTGTGGTGACAGGAGCACTAATACGCTTAAGATTCAGACTGCAACTGTGCACGTATCGCTGAGCCGAGTCGTAGTTTGTGCAGTCTTTACTCACATTTCTGAAAACAAACTACAAACTTCTTTACTGATTCAACTTAGGAAACCGGAAAACAGAAAAAAGAAATAACAAAAAACATGTTTAACATACAAAATGTAATTATTACTAACACTATGTAAAGTTAACTTCAATCAGTCTTCTTTTAAACTTCAATCTTTAGCAGATCACATTTCTACATATTAATGGAATTATTTTTTATTTCCTGGCCAAAAAAGATCTCCATCCGACATGTGTCACAATGAGAGGACCTTACTAAGGGCTAATGACCCTGGCCTGGTCAAAGCTGGCTCATGCTCATCCATCGTCACTAGGCAGGTTTTTCCCCTTCATGGTTTATTTATAAAAGAACTGTTCATGGATCACGCATTCACACATTTCCATCATAAATGTCAGAAGGGACTTTTATCTGTCCAATGTGTCTATTTTAGGGTGTCATTGTCAGTAAGACTCCTACTCTGACAATGAGGCTCAGAGCAAGAAGGGTAAGAACCCAACTGAGTGTGGCATCATCACCACCAACTGGGCTGACATGAAGAAGATGCAGCACCTTACTCTCTACAATGAGCTTTGTCTGGCTCCTTAGGAATGTCCCACTCTGCTCAGTGAGGGCCCCCTGAGCCTCCAGGCCAAAAGAGAGAGGATGCCAGACCTGTATCATTGCAGCCAGGTGTGTGACTTTCCAGACGGCTCTCTCCCTTCATGCTTCAGGTCAGACCACATGTTAGGTTGGAACTAGGCTAGGCTCTTGATTTCCCTCTCCTTTGTTTTTTTGCCATCATTGTCATTCACAATAAGAATAGTCCAACATTTTTCTGGGGAAAAAAATTGTTTGTTTCTGGTAAATGCATGCTGCTAAGCTTATGAGGCATAGGCTTCCATGGGGCATAGCAAATTCACCTTTAGAAACTTAAACATACTGCTAATACAGTGAGAGAGTATTCTCCTGCTCTTATTTTCATCAATTAGGAAGACACAGGGAACAGACAGCATATGATATGTTCTCATAACTCGATTATATCTACTTTACTGATTGAGTAACCAGCTATACAGATAACTAGCTACACAGCTAATAAAACAAAAAAAAAAGTTTATGAGAATGTAGTTCATGATATTATGCATATTCATATTATGCACCTAAATCTAATCTAATATCATGTTCCTAGCTGAATGTGAGATCAAAGCTGTGCTCCATGACTTTGAGAATAAGATGGCCAGTGCTGCTGCCTCTTCCTTCTTCTTAGAGAAGAGTTACAGGCTGCCTAATGACCAGGTGGTCATCATCGAGAATGAAAGATTCCACTGTCCAGAAACTGTCTTTAATTGGTAAGTATACAAAAAAGTGCGCATATAGTTTTGCCTACTTGGATTCAGCTCCAAGGACCATCATCAACAGCTACTGTTCTCCATAGTTTAACCCTTTAAACTCCAAATGTATTATTTAGATATTGTTATTAAGTCTTATTATTTCATAACCACAAGTTATTCGGTAACTGATATTATAAATGAAAATCTGTAAGTCATGTAAGTATGAAAGAGAGGAGCTCTGCAAGCCTGAAGCTACCCCATGGTTCCTTGGAATTTTAGCGATAAAAATGATGATAATTAATATGAGTCACTTCCTCTAGCCAGGTATAGAATCTGCTAGAACTTATGAAACAACTTACAACACCATTGTGAAATGTAACTTTAATATCTGTAAGGACACTGTAATGTGTCCTGTCTGTGGAACTACCATGTATCCTGGAATTCCTGACCATATGCAGAAGGAAAGTACAGTTTCAACTTCCAGCACAATGAAAATTATTGTAAACTACTCTATGTTGTTTTATTCTGCTCTATTCTGGGCTACTGTATGCTTCTCTATTGTGTTCGATTGTACTCTTTTCTAGTCTACCCTATTCTATTCTATTCCGGGCTACTCTGCTCTATTGTACTCTATTCTGTTCTCTTCTGTTCTATTCTGGGCTACTTATTCTAATCTACCCTATTCTAAACATTTCTATTCTATTCTGGTCTATTTTATTGTGTTTAATTCTGTTCTATTATATTTTATTCTACTCTGCTCTATCATGAGCTACTCTGTTCTGGGCTGCTCTATTCTATACCACTGTGTTCTCCTCTATTGTAAACTACCTTATTTTATTCTATTACGGGATACTCTTTTCTGTTCTATTCTTTTTTTGGCTACTTTGCTCTATTCTATTCTGTTCTATTCTATTCATGGCTACTCTATTCTTCTCAATTGTTTTCAATTGTACTCATTTCAATTCTATTCTATTCTATTCTACTCTGGGCTATTCTGCTCTATTGTACTACATTCTATTCTGCTGTATTCTGAGCTACTCTGTTCTTCTCTGTTGTGTTCTCTTGTGCTCTATTCTGTTCTATTCTTTTCTATTTTGACCTGCTCTATTCTATTCTATTCTATTCTATTCTATTCTATTCTATTCTATTCTAGGCTACCGTGTTCTGGGCTGCTCTATTCCACACCATTGTGTTCTATTCCATTGTAGTCTACCCTATTGTATTCTATTATGGGACACTCTATTCTGCTTTTTCTATTCTATTGTATTCTGGGCTACTCTATTCAACACTATTGTGTTCTGTTTCACTCTATTCTACTACACCCTATTATTTTTTGTTCTAGGCTACTCTCTTCTATTCTCTTCTAGGCTACTCAATTCTGTTTTATTCTGGGTTACTGTATTCCGCCATGTTCTATTCTATTCTAAACATTTGTGTGAGCTTTTGGATCTGTTTGGATTGGTGACTCCCCCTTTACCTAGCAGAAGATGTGAATCAGCAAGCAGGAATATGAAAAGACCAGTCCCTCCATCATTCACTGAAAATGCTTCTAAACACCATCGCTAATTTTCACCTCCTATACTAATTAATCATCATTTGCAAACTAGTTGGTCCTGGACATCAGAGTTATATGTACAAACCCAAAAACAAACAGGGTCCTGGATTTGCAATGTGTTTCACCTCTGAATCTCACTCTGTAAAATCAGGAGTGATGTGTTAAAATGAAGAGATTTGAAGTAGTGTCCTCATGCAGTTATATAAGAGTAAATACATGCAACTTATAAATATTTCAACTCTAGTCATCCATTGATATAATATAGCCAAAGTCGCTGAAGTGATGACAGTTCAATGCTAAGTCTAATGTGCTGGCATAAGCCATCTTATGACAAATGCACCCTCAGTCATTCATAGAGGGGAAAAACAATGTCACGTGAGCAGTTGCCTTAATCCCCACCCTTAATACTGTCCTTGAAATGATAATGGGTTCACGCAGAAATGTATGATTTGCCTCTAAGTTGATCTGGCGCATGCCCACGAAGCTGAACCTAAAACAGAAATCACAGATTAAGGATCTACAGGAGACCATAGCATGACTCAGGGATAACCCTCGGACCTCCCATACTACAGTGTGGACAAAAGGTCTTCAGATGTATGTCCACTCCGTCAGTACAGCAGGCCTACTCGGGGGATTACACTAATACCTTCAAACCGATCTCAAATCACATTAGCTGATATACTTATCTGTACCTTGAAATAGTCCAATGCCAATTCATTTGGCCATGATCTAGCAGCAGCGGTGGACGTGGATATACACGCATGGTCGAAACAAAGGGCGGGAGAGTGTGTGTACGTGTGTTTGTGTGTGTGTGTGTGTGTGGTGCAGAGATCACGTTTCTATTTTTGAACACGGTAAAGCGATCAGCATCCTCACATGCATCCGGCGCCGAGTGGCTCGCAGCATCCAGCGCGTTACCATCCACGCTCCCGGAGAAAAGTCAAAAGTCCACTCGAGTCCGCGAGGAAGGGGATTCCTGGAGCCAAGGACTTTCTTTATGACACGCGCGGCCGCGCTTGCAACAAGTATGTGACTTCTGGAGGGGGGAAAAGAGCACATCCTGTCTCTTAAACCAATAAGAACGCAGCGCCCAGCCCCTCGACGTAGCCCACACCCTTGAGTTTATTTAGTTTCAGCACCAGTGAGCAAAACTCTGCTGCTGAGTTATTCCAGCCTTTCTCTCTCTCTCGCGCGCGCACGGAGCTCAGCGATGGAGCTCATTTTCTCCCCTCCGTCAAACGTTACCATGATGTCTACGCAATATTGCAAATAAGAAATCTATTTTTAAGATATTTTGGCAGCCCTCCACGAACCTGTCTGCGCGTGACGCAGGAGGAGACTACTTAAAGGGGGATTAGCTCTGGCAAAGACATTAAATCCAACCCTCCCAGCAGCCAGACACCGCGCGACCTATCAACCTGATCTGAAGATCGAAAATAGGAGGGCTCATATTAATCAGCACTTCGGACTCCAAGACGAGCAGAAGTGAAATCGGCGAGAGATCCTCTGGCATTGTGCGCTGTGGCAGCGCAGGAGGGGGAGAAGGCTTGGTGATCAATGCGTTTGGCAGATAAAATCGGGCCCTCTGGAGAGTAGACGAGGGAGATACTACCGGTTTTTTTTGTTTTTTCCCGTGGAATTCGTGCAGAGGGCTGTGTGCGCGCTCTCGTCTCCGGATGAACAGAAATGGGGGAATGGACCATACTAGAGAGGCTCCTGGAGGCTGCTGTCCAGCAGCACTCCACTATGATAGGAAGGTAAGACGAAGTCGAATTTATTTGTGTGTGAACGTAAATATTTCATTTAATGTTAGATTTATGTGGAAGTGGTGTAGCACAGCGGTTGAGCCTCGTTTACAGGCGTGCGACAAGACTGGCAGTAAATAACAATAAAAAATAAAGAAAAGCAAACAAAATCTGTACTAAAGCACACGTGAATATATCATTAATGGGATCCATCATGTGCTGTCCTGCGTTATTTGAGTTACACGGGTTTATAAGCAAAAGAAAGCGTCCGTGAGCGCCAGGCGCTCCACTTTCAGCACTGGACAGCTCCCGTCCATAACACTGTTTCAAAGCGCTTTTCTTTACCAAACGCCTCAGATTGAATGCAGGACACTGGCCAAACCCTGATACACTCCTTTTCTCCTTTGCTTCCAGGATCCTACTAACTGTGGTGGTGATCTTCCGGATCCTAATCGTAGCCATAGTTGGAGAGACAGTTTATGATGATGAGCAAACCATGTTCATCTGTAACGCCTTACAACCGGGCTGTAACCAGGCGTGCTACGACAAGGCTTTCCCCATCTCGCACATCAGATACTGGGTGTTCCAGATCATAATGGTCTGCACCCCGAGCCTGTGCTTCATCACCTACTCGGTCCACCAGTCCGCTAAACAGCGGGAGAGACGCTACTCCACCGTCTTCCTCACGGTGGACAACAAGGACCAAGACTCGATGAAGCACGACGACAGCAAGAAGATCAAGAACACCATCGTGAACGGAGTACTGCAGAACACGGAGAACTCCACCAAAGAAGCCGAGCCCGACTGCCTGGAAGTCAAAGAGATCCCCAACGCGACCATGAGGACTGCCAAGTCCAAAATGAGGCGGCAGGAGGGCATCTCGAGGTTTTACATCATCCAGGTGGTTTTCAGAAACGCCCTGGAGATCGGCTTCCTGGTGGGCCAGTATTTCTTGTACGGGTTCAACGTGCCCGCCGTGTACGAGTGCGACCGCTACCCGTGCATCAAGGAGGTCGAGTGCTACGTGTCCAGACCTACGGAGAAGACGGTCTTCCTCGTGTTCATGTTCGCCGTCAGCGGCTTCTGCGTGGTGCTCAACCTGGCCGAACTCAACCACCTGGGATGGAGGAAGATCAAAACGGCCGTGAGGGGGGTGCAGGCCCGGAGGAAGTCCATCTACGAGATCAGGAACAAGGACTTGCCCCGCATGAGCGTGCCTAATTTCGGCCGCACTCAGTCCAGTGACTCTGCCTATGTGTAGGTGAGAAGAGAGAGAGGGAGAGGGAAAGAAGAGGAAGAGAGAGAGACAGAGAGAGCGTAGTGAAAAAGTGAGTTCCCCAAGAGGGGTCCCAAAGATCCAACATCGGCACAGACGGAGCCCATTCGCCACCGACGAGCGGGTGAGATTTGGGTTTGTTTAGGCTTTTTTTCAGGATGGCTGACACGGGTTGGCAAGCGATGTCTTTTTCTTGCACTGGTGCAACTCTCTCGGCCACCTCACTGAAGCGCAGCCCGCTCACCGGGGTCGCGTATTTACTCTACAGTGGGCTGCTCAGTTGTACTTGAACAGAGTAAATACGTTTTGCACTAAAAAAAAAAGAGAAACAGTAATAAAAGTCAACACCGGGAGCCAAAACGCGCCTGTTATCGGTGTTTTTAAAGTTTTTCCACCGATTTTCTTTTTGGACACCATCTTATTTAGCGATATGTTACGCACAGCGATTGAAGGGAGAAGCTTTAGTGCAGATTCATCCAGCCTAGAAGAATATATGGAGTAGGCTGTGGATTAAACTAGGTTTAAGAAATTAAAAAAAAGATGGATGGATTCAGGTATTAAGCAGCATCAGGTAATAAAGGACACTTTATTTTAAATGCTGATTTTTCAGTCTAAGTGAGAGAAAGGAAACTGTAAATAAGCTCATTATAATGAAATAAAAGATTTACGAGTCATTCAGTGAAGACTGTACAAAGCTCTGTCCTGTATGACCTGATGTTTATTAATACCTGAGCCCACCCTGTATGATAGACTTTTTTTTGGTTGCCTGTGTTGCACCATTGACCTTAATGTAAGTCTCCATTTCATGGCTGTAGTGAACTTGTGAGCTGATTCCAGGCTGGATCTGCTGCACACGTCTGCGACATTTCCTTAATTTAAAAAAACACACACCAAAGCGCCCACAGCTTTCATTCGTGAAGTGTTGTTTTTCTCTCTTTTGCTTTCGTGTCATTTAAGTGCCATACTTGTACATAAAAATATATATATGTATACATATAGATATAAGAAAAATCTATAATAATAATAATGATGATGATGATAAGAATTCTATGTGTCATGAAAGAGGATTCCTTGCTTGGATTGTGCTGAAAAAAAATCCACCCAGGTTTGCTTTAACTGTATTCGTTGTGATTTCGATGCAAAAGATGCAAAAGGATATAACTGCATTTTTTTCCTTTTCTCTCTTTTAACTTTGCATATGACCGGAATAAAGACAAAGTGCTGGTCTGATTTTTTGTACACTGCTCAGTACTCTTTATTCACCAGATTCAAGGAGCTCAATAACGATGGCACAAATATCTTTTGTAACAGACAAAATCAAATCATGGACAGTGAGAACCTGCTCTGGTGCTACAGTACTGTTTTTTCCACTGTGTGCAACCCAAGCTAATGAGAACACAAGCTATTTTCTTCAGATTAAGAGTGAAATGGATGCACACTGTCAAAAAAATATTTAAGCAAATAAAGCAAAGACGCAGGGCTTTTGTGTGGATGTGAGAAAGCACCTCATATGCTCTCTGTGACCTGGCGAGTGAGCTGTCCCTTTAAGGCCTTGGCTATGAAAGAATATGTGCTGCATTAACTGTCATGTTTTTGTCAGTGTATCTTTCATGTATTTAAATAATGTACGTTTCCATTTATTCCAAACATGGTCCGGAAATATGTGCAAACATTTTTAGCATACCTTTTTTTTTGCTTTGTTTTTTAGTTTCATGACGTTTTTCCTCTATCAATTCTAATTCAAAGGTCATGTAAAGAGCTGCATGTTTAAGTGAGAATATTAGAAAGTATCTGGATACTTTTAAGGGGAAGATGTCAGTCGTATCAGTCATATTTGCCTTGGGAGTTGGTCATTTCCCCCCTCTTTCTGTTTCTGCTTCTGTCCATCGCTTGAGAAAGACCGCAGAAAGGAGTGTCTCTAGCTTTTGGGCTTTTGGGGAGGGTTGTGTGCTCTTCTTCAAGGTCAGAAGAGAGAGAGAGAGGGAAAAAAAATAGCGTAAAAGTGCTGAACAGTGTAGCCGCGCTGTGGATGGCGGCATGGGGACTGACCATCCGGGATGATGCGGGGGCGGCTCACTGCAGCACCTGCCAGGATGACTCTGCAAAGCAGGACTGAAGGCGGAGGAGCTGGAGCCTGTCACATCAATCTTGGGCTCAGAGGGACCTTCACTGTTTCCAAAACTCAATCACAAACCATCTAAAAGGAAAAAAAAAGAAGAAAAAGAAAAAAAGAAGTGCAATGTGCCTGCTTTGGCTGGCCGGACGGTGCAATTCAATAGCCCCTTGTTTTCTCTCCTCCACATCTGTCTTATGACCAACATTCCAAGACTGTCTTTATCTGGAATCTGTGAATCTGTGAATCTGTGAGATTCATGCAGGACGTCCATGATAAACTGTGCAGAAAGCTGAAGGACCTCTAAATAGAAGGCACTTTCTACTGAGTGTCATAATTTAAAGGAACATCATAGCAGAAAGATTGTGAATGTGTATGGGATCCAAAAGAAAAAAAAAGCTTTAATAAAAAAAAAAAAACAAAAACGAAAAACAAAAAAACAACAACTCCTCTTCTGAATGTGAAAATATCTGTACATGACTCATGTACTGAGGTCTCTCTCTCTCTCTCTCTCTCTCTCTCTCTCTCTCTCTCTCTCTCTCTCTTTCTCTCTGCAGTATTCGTCCTGGTATTTCCATGGCTACATCTAAATGACAGATGTATTGGGTTATGTATGGATGGCATTTATGCATGCTGTGATGCATTTTACATCATGTGTTGGGAGGCTTGGTTACGTCTGGTTAAAATTATTTTGTGGTACATGTTCTACTGCACCAGTGAAGGATGGGGCCGAATTCTATTTATCTATTCATGAAATGGAGCACAAACCAGAATGCTCGGCACTGCCGGGAGGACAGGAGGCCCCCCGGCACACACACTGGGGTCTCTCTCCAACTCCAGTGTATTACTGACAAAAATGGACATTTACTGACTCAAAACATTGGTTCACTTTGCTCTTTCGAAGGGTGATATTAAAGGGGACTTCCACTGATTTTTGAAAATTTCTGCATAATTCAATCAAAACAATTCAGAGTCGTTTCATTGTGGAGAAACTCAGGTTTTCTTTGAAGTGGTGGTGATGTGAACCAGGGGTCATGATCATGTCTACAATGCAAATATAGCCATTTTATTTACTATCCAAAATGAAGCTACACCTGTCTTCTGCACTTTTGTAGGCCTGCGTAATGTTGATAATGGTAAAATAATGTTAAATTTGAAAAAAAGTTTTCATTAGGTAATATTTTGTCTTACAATGCCCTGAGTGAATTAAAAAAAATACATTTTAAGCCCAAAGCTTTTCATTAAATTCTCATAAAACAACATCGCAGGCATCAGGCAGCATATTCATAACCACTTCATGCAGGTAGCTTTTTAAGGCATTAAATGTTTCAGATGTTTGGTTCCTATCACCACCATTGTGAACAATTTTTATCCAGAATGGAGCATTTCACATTAAACTAATCTTGATGACTTTCTTTACATCTTAATAATTGGGCGGAGTTTTAAAAAATTGGTGGAATTCCCCTTAAAGACAAATAGATGGCATGCATATATGCTGTCATTTTTTTAGAATAGAAACCAAATCCTCAGGAATTCCATGAATTTCAGCAAAAAAAATGAGATGCCTAAAAACAAACATGAGAGGATTTAAGAGGCTAAACTGCTTCTTTAATTACAGACACTTTCTATTGGGCAACCAAGTAATATGTTAAAAGCTCATCATTTGAAAACAGGATCTAATAAGAACGTGTATGAGACTGTCCAGGTGCTGTGTAAGTTTCCCATTCTGATCTAAAGGGCCTTGCACACACAAAAAGCACTGGATAGCATCAAACTGTCCCTTTTCTAACCAGCCAAGCCTCCAGTCCTTTACATTTTTAACCGAGTGTAGCTACATCTGTATAAATGTAAAGTGAATGAATTTAAGTTGATGAAGTGCAGTGAATTAAATCTGATTTCTCACGCAGGAGAACATATATAACAGAGCTGACGTGTCATTTCCTTAACTGTGTTCTTCTGTTCATGTACAAAAGAGATTTATTTTCCTACAGTGACTACAGTGTCCTTAAAGGGGGGGTGAATCTCTGCAATGCACCAAATACTTCCACTGTATTACGACTTCACCAATAACTTCACCCTCATGCTAAATGTCTTTACATATGGATTTTTTCTTGTTGATTATTTACATTGTTTTTCATTCACTTTAAAATTTTCACCTCTCATGCAAAATGGATGATTTTATTGTTATAATTTATTGCTCACAGCAGCATAACTAAGGAGCATCCAAAGATAAAATACTGACATGACAGATTCCATTCATTAATAATTAAGTAATGCAATGCAAAACATTAGACTAGATTTAAAAAATTCTATTCACTTTTACCTTTTTATACACAGCAAGAAAAATCTAGCTTTCAAATATTAATTATAAATATAAATTAAGATTTTTTATTTAGAATTTTTGAAATGTAATTATTTTATCCAAAAGATAATCATGTACTGGATTTTTAAATTCTCTTTAACAATACATCAGATTTTCTATTAAGTCATAAATTTAATAACGAACTTGTAGGGCTTAAATATAAAGACTTACAGGAAGTAGAGTCTTCCTTTAAATCTTTATTAAATAAAAAGAAAAATGAATATTTCATTATGTTAGATTCATTATGATGTAAATTCATTTTGATATTTTACATTACATCTTTTTTTTCACTTTATATTATACTGAAAATGTCATGAGGTCAGTTACTATCCAGCCATAAAATGTTATAGGGAAAATTATAAAATTATACATATTTATACATATTTTTTTAAATCTCTACATCAGCTGTTGTAGGACTAAATTATTTGCATTTGTACTAATATCTGCAATACATCTGTGGGATTAGATCTACTATTTGCTGATGTTCTGATATGCTGTCATCTTTCTGACACTGTTTTCACGTCAAATCAAATGCATGTAATAATATTCAATTTTTATTATTGGGACAATTATAAACTCCTTTTAACACTAACAAAGACCTCCTACGGCTAGACAAATACACGGATATGAAGTTTTTGGTGCTGTATGTTGTATTGGTGCTACAAATAGAGCAGATTTGCTAAAAAGTCATCAGAATAACAGCAGTTCCTTCACGTATAGCTGTGCAATTGTAATAATGTATAATAAAACTTTGAATCAAAATGTGATTAAAACATGCAAACTGTTTAAACTTTCTCTTAACTAACAGCCTTTTAAATGACTGTGGCACATTTATTTGCATTTTAAAATGGTAACTTCCATTATTATATAAATGTAGCCTGTGCATTGTATTGCAACATTATTGAATATCAGAGGCATGTTGTTTTACACACTCTGTCCTAAAACCACCTCTCTTATTTCCCCTCACTGTACAACTCAGTCAAAGCCGAGGCCTGCTCAGAGACAGAGCTTTAATTCTGCTTCTGCAGTGATTATAGCATGAAAGGATGCAAACAGAAGAAAACACTCAAAGCTGGTCTTTGTGATCTATAAAATTATGTGTGTTTACTATGCATTCACACCACAAGCACTACATTACACAAATGACAGAGGAAAATGAGAAATGCCACTTCTCTCTCTCTGAGCCTGTGAGTGACAGTCTCCTGTAATCTCACACACAGGGAATCATGGTCATCTTGGTGAATTTCTCCTCATTATGACTTAACTCACTTCATGAATCGTAGATTGTGTGTTTTTCTGGAGAATGAAGAACTGTATGTCGTGCACTGCAGCCAGTGTCATCTCAGTACACCTAATCTGTCCTCTGAAAACTGCCCTATTGTGAAAACACACACACACCAGGATGGTGGGATTTAGATGATTTTTGACTGTCAATCTGTATTAGAAAGGAGAGAGGTGTGAGCAGATTAATTTTGGTGAGTAAATTTAATATCACCTCCGGATTATGGAAATTCAAAGATTAAGATTATATTCATTACTGAGGCAACACAGAATCCTCTCTGGGGTGAACCAAAATCAAAACAATCATCCCCCATAATGCCATAATGATGATGATGATCAAAAATGATATCAAATCAGACTCCTACTACGAGAGCAAGTCTAAATAATACTTTTGTTTACCTTCCAAAAATGATTCAAG